TTTTTTACATTTTTTTTTTCATATTTTTAACTCTTTTCAAATCAGAAGATGCAAAAAAACTTGAAGAATAGTGTCCTAGTTTTAAATAAAGTTTTTCAAAAACTCTAATAATACCATTAATCCAGCCGATCCATTGTGATCAATCGAGCAAACATGATTGTCTTTAAACGCCATATATTTTGATGAATCTTGGTGTGCATTCCATTACTCACAAGATTTGCACTTCTTAGAAAGTATGCGATAATCTATACATTTTCCATTTGTTTTGCTTATTATAGTAATAAATCCATTTAGTGATGAGTATCCTCTCTTTTGCCAAGCTCCGTCCCCTGAAATTTCCTTATCAACTACTGTACAATCATAATTTTTTTTCAAACTAATTATTCTTACTTCTTTAGCATTCATGCTAGCTTCGGCAATGTAATTGTAAGAGTTGGCAACTTCTTCACTTAATGAGTTAAAAGAAGATTTGTTCATAGGATCAGGCATATTCACTAAACCGCAGAATTTTTTTTATACTAGAGTATCCTTTACCTATTTCTCGAAAAGCTAATATAATTCTTAAATTAATGTCAAAAGTTTTTGGACCGGTTGTTACTAGTTTGCTTAAAGTTTTACTTGCATAAAATTTTTGTTTCCATTGGCAAGATCCACATGAAATAAATATACAGTGTGATAAACCTTTTTTAAGTTTAGCATCATGGTTAAAAGTAACATTTGCAGAACATTTTGGACAGCAGCCTAAAATGTTAGTGTTCATAAAAATATAGCAGTCATTGTACTAATCACCATCAGCAGAAAAATTATTTTTATTTACAGAATTACTATTTACAATATCTACAGAAGATTTACTACTAGAACTCGATGACATTATGTTCATTTTTTTTGCTGAGCTACATTTGAATTGTAATCCTTGTAAATTAGATAGATTTTCTTCAGCTACAATATTTGATGTTTTATGTTGGTTTCCTCTGAAAAATCTATGTTTTTTGCTATACCTTATTTTATTTGTTTTATCTTTATTTCCCATCATTTTAATAATTATTTAACCAAGGTATGATCTAAGGTAAGAACACAGAGAATAAGCCAAAGATTGATGTGGTTGTTGTTAAGTAATTAGACATATAGTGAAGAAATCCGTTAATAACCATGTAACATACAGCACCAAAAACATTTATTATTAAACAAAAAGTAGTTTTAGAGTAGCAGTTGCCACACATGTAGTTTTTTTATGAATTTTTATGGTATTTTGAAAGATAGTTTGCTTTTTAGCTACATAGCAACGGAATAAACAATCCGTTGCTATGGAAAAATTTTAAAAAATACTTTACCGCATTATTAAAAATTGGTTTTTAATAGGGTTAGCTTTAATTTTATATAAAACTAATTCGAAATTCCTAATCTACAATAATTATATTACTTAAAAACTTTAAAACTGAAAAAACGATTTTTTTGACTTTTAATAGTGGTCTACCACCTTAAGACTATGGAAGACGTGTTTAGGAGATTGTTGGCAACCACAGACACTTACATTTCATCTCTGCGAAAATCAAGACAAAAAAAATTGAAGACTTTGTTACCAGTGGCTGTAGCCCTCTTGGTTCCTGTAACAGAAGATTATAAAGTCTCTGACACAGATGCCGAGGAAACAGACTTTAAAGACTTCAACAAAGAGACAGATCAAGATGAAAAAGAGTCAAAATGATTGTAGATGAAACAAAATTTTTTTTTCTATATTTAACACTATTTTCCATCATTTGATCCTTTTTTTAGCATTTACGGACACATTGGATCCACCATTTTGTTTTTTAATTTTTTTAAACTTTTTTTTGTCAAATTTTTAATTTGTGGCCTGAAAGAACCCTTAACACCCATTTATAAACAATTTAAACAATTTTTTAACATATATATCCGCCATATTGGATCCACCATTTTGTTTTTCTTTTTTTTTAGGCAGAATTTTAATCAGTAACCTCAAAACATATTTTCCATGAAATTTCAGGCAAATCATTTGATATCTTTTTCGATATCTGACCTACTGTGCGGCGAGAAATATTTCCGGCTGCAACCAACCCAATACTAATAATTGAGATTTCTGCTGGTTAACAGTGGTTAACTGACTGAAACAGACTGTGAAGGTTTTTGTTTTTTTTATTGATTACAAAAAGATAATGGAAGACAGGATCTAATAAATAGATAATGCACAGTGAGTACCAACACAATGTTATACACTTACATTAAAATATAAAAGTAATTTTAAATTTTAAAAATCTTTTTACATAACTTTAAGCTAAAGGTCTACTCTAGTATAAACTATTTACTATTTTAAATTGAATGCTATTTTTCGGGATTTGATATGTACGTTCGGAATTAGGAACAAGCGTTCCTAATTCCGAACGAAATATACTTGTTGCTTGATATGGTTTGATTCAGTTTAGGTTCCAGTTTATTTATTAAAAAAAATTGATTTAAAACTTATAAAACGATAGCTATTCAACTTTTTTTTATTCAATTAGTCGATAAAAACGATTTTATTTGGAATTAGGGAAATCTACGGCAAATGACTTTTAAATTAGTTTTGTTTAACTTACTTCGAAAATTACTTGTATTTTTAAAATTAACTTGATGCTGTTAAATTTTATGTTTTTTTTTAAAAAAAGATTTACTTTTAAATGCAAATATATTTAGTATTTTATATTTAAAGTAATTTTGTGCATTCATATCGAAATAAGTAAAAGTGCTATCTGCAATTTAATCTGAGTCCATAACTTTGTTAAACAAAGTATATTAGTTCAGAGTTATTTTTAGGATTAAAATAAAGACTAAAATAAACCAAAGTCAAAAGGTTGGGTGGATTTAAGACAATTACTGGCTTGATCACCCCAACAGTCAGCATGTACTTCATATAATGTATAATATAAACAACTTTTTTTATCAATTAACGTTTTGGTCGGAAATTTTCAGTATGATCTCTCATTAACTATTATATAAATAACTTTTTTTTATCAGTAACGTTTTGGCTGGAAATTTTTGAAAATAAACCCTATTACTTTGAAAAAACTCAAGCACAAACTTATTTAATTTTTATAACTAAAAAAATTATGAGAATATCGTTTTTTTGGATAGAAAATTTGTGATGACTGGGGCGAATCCGTAAATAAACCATCAAACTTGGGAGACCAAAACTTAGCAAATGATATTATTACAAAAGACCCTTTTAAAAATATATTATAACAACTAATATATCAGGTCATTTTCTTATTTTTTTAAATTCCTAATACGAAACCAACACAAAGTATAAAAACAAAGGTAGCAAAGAAAAATCCCGAGATCAGCGAGAGAAAAAAAAAAAATTAGTATGATCGATAGGCACAGTGGAGTGTTCATACATCATGTTCGACTGACTCAAGTAGGGATAAGCGTACTCAGTTTATTTAAGGCCAGTCCAAATTTTTAAGGTAGTTCGACTTACCTTCTAGACATTTTTATTTAATAATTTTTTTTTTTTTGAAAAGTTGTTGTCTTAACTGAATAATACTTAGCAAAAGTTGTGCAAAGTTAAAAAAATTATTATTGACGACAATATGGAGGTTGACTTAAATTGTCCTTTAACTAAAAGATAAATATATGATAAATAACCAATTAAATTGTTAGTAACAACTTTTCTAGTTATATGCGACCTAAACGACATTGATATTGTATTCTACCATTAATCCATAATATTATCTAGAAGGTCAGGCAGAAAATCTGACGTTTTGTCATTTCTTACAACGAAAAACTCTTAAATGTCGGAAATTCAGGAATACTTAACGGTTTGCATTTAATGGCTTTTTGATGGGTCGTAACAACAGAATTAATTTGTCGGGTAGGTTAATAGTTCGTAATATTTAAGATATGAACAATAAATAATATGGTTTGTTATGAATTCATTGTATTATATGATAATTCATAGCATTTTATGAACTCATGATATTAATTTGAAAAATTAATAATTGCTGAAAAAATTATTTAATTTATTATGTTATTTACTATATCATGCTATGTTTAGCTTGATTTGTAGTTTAATTTTTTTTTTATAATTTGTTATTTTTATGAAAATATTTTGTCGTTTAATTTAATTTTTTTATTACGTTGTTTAATTTTATGTTTATAATTTCCTATTTCTTATAAAAATTATTTTGATGTTAAAAATTTTTTTATCTAAATTTATATCTCTTGGTTGATTAATTTTTTTTTTACGGCTTCCACGGCTGCATGTATTCCAATAAAGTAAGGTTATATAATAATTTCGAGACAGGTTGCAAAGATTAACAACATTTTTTGCTTTATTTTGTTCGTTGGATTTTTTCCTTGAACCAAATACAAATAGAACTATTAGTTCCATTTATTACTAGAGGATTAAAGTAATCTTTTGTAATAAAACAGAAATTGCGTAAATACTTAAACACATATCTTCATTATTGAAAAAAATATATTTGAAAAGATTCGTAATAATTTGACAAAGATATATAACTCAAATCTTATTAACAAATTTCAAAATAATTTTAAAAGCATTTGCCAAAGAACTAATTGGAATACTGAAAACACGTTCGTGAGAAGTTTGATAAAATTAAATCTGCCGTTCGTGAGGAGTTTGATATAATTAAATCTCACGTTCATGAGAAGTTTGATTAAATATCTTAAAAGAAAAGCAATCGGCGTAGACGAAATAAACAATAAAAATTATAAATTAAAAAAAAAAAAAACTAATTTTTTTATTGATTTGATTTATATCAAAATCACTCATTTTTCTCACTTAATATTTCAGTTGCTATTATATTGCCAATATTTATTTATACTTTTTCGATATAATTTTTTTAATATAAAAATAGACGAGACAGCATCTAACTTTTTTCAGAATTTTTTTAAAATAGATACCTAATCAGATGCAACTTAGATACATCACATTTAATAAATCTAACCGTAACAATTATGCGCGGGCACAAGAAAAATAATTTAAAAAAGTTTATAAAGCACCTTATCTAATCTAATACAATAACACTATTCTCTTTTAGTGCTGTGGTATCATTTGCTAGTGTTTTTTCAAAGTTTTGTTTTTCTGCAAGTTCATTGGAGACACTGTTTGATTTAATGTTCGAACTTTGTTTAACATTCAAGTCTGTAACTAATTCGGAACCAACTTTCGAGTCTGAAAAAAAATTCGAATTTATTTCCATTATATTTGTCTTAGTTTAGCTCTAAACTAAAGACAATTATTTGGTAACTTTTTTTTCTATGGGTAATCAATGAAAAAGTTCAAAATCATATATATTGCAAATATATATGTTTAAAGTTGTATTTATGGAAAACTTTTAGAAAATCTGGAACGAGTAAAAGTTTAAAGAAATTCCGGGTATATCCGGAAAAAGATGTTGTACCATACTTGTTCATGGGGTGCCCAAAAAAGCTATTCTCTATTATATTGGGAAATTTAATCCTTTGCTAAAGAAAATATCCCTAAGGTATAGGTCACTTACCTAGCGATTGCTTTATTGTTAATTTTGAATATTTGAATATACTTTAGGGAGTATGGTACAACAAGTAAAAAGGAAATCAATTTAAATATATTAAATATACATTTTAATAACTTACCAATATCGCTGCTAGAGTTACGAGAAACTGAATGTTCGGATGGATCAGTAGTTGGATAACACCCATTTATTTTTAAACTATCTGACTTATCATTTTTGACAGCACTATCAGCAATATGTTCTGGTACGTTATATGTGCAAATCGTTGTAACTTTAACACGTTTAGGGTTTTTTGGTGAGAAAGCATTTGATATAGGCAAATTTGATTGTCTTTGTTTAGGGGACTGCTTTGGTTCTGGTAAATCCGTTGATGTAAAGGTTTGCAATGTGGTTACATTTACTCGTTTAGGAGGTTTATTTGTATTTTGATTTGCGGTAAGTGATATTATTTTAGTACAATTAGACTCGTTTTGATTTAACTCATTGGAATTAACTGTTTTTTTTATTAAGTCGCCAGAGATTTCTTCGCAACAAGGAAGATTTAACGTCAAAGGTAATTTTGATGATGTGACTGGTGTTCTTGACGGACTTGAGACTTCTGAGTTCGATATTTTATTAACTAGTAGAGAAGTTTCAAATTTTGCACTCCCAAAACTTTCAGACAAACCTATTATAATCAAAAAACTTCTATTTCAAAATACGTGAGAAATGAATTAAAACATTGCAATTAATTAGAAAAATGTGTACATTTTTCAACAACCACAGTTGATGAGATGTCCACCGAAATTGGGCTTTGCCCAATTACATTTGCAGAATTCATTTTGGATTTCTCTTCAGAATTGCTTAAACGTTTGCGCTTTTTGATAGGAGTAACAAACAGCTTGTCAATTGTTGTTTGGTTACGGTCAATTTTTACTTTTTCTTTTAAATCTTTTTCTAATAAAAATAAATGTAACAAATGTAACAAATTTCATGTTGTAGCTGCAGTAAGAATCAGTTTAACACACTAAAAGTGATATAATTAATATCGGTCAAACCGTCATTATCAAAATATTGGTTTGAATTGAAGTTATTTTTAAATTAAATATTATTACAAATCTTACTTTCTGTTAATTCCGGATTTTTCTTTTCAGGTTTTATTCCATCAGCTTGTTTTTCTTTTTTTTTTTTAGCTGAATTTTTTATTTCTGCTTTATTAATTTGATACTCAATAGGATTGTATTTAATAGGTATTCCGAGTTCTCCTTCATTAAATTTTATAAAAGAACAATAACCGTCTGTAGAAGACACTACCAATAATTTGCCATCAGAAGACCTACAACAAATAATTCACATACATATTTTTCTTAGAGTACCTTTAGCCAGTGATTTACAAGCTTAGTGAATAATGTTCAATTCTAATAAATGTTTACAGCAAAGTTAGTGTTATTTGAGAGATATCTTAGTTAACTGTATTATTTCGCTTAAAAATAGCCTTTTACTACTTTTTATCAAAAAATTAATCTATACTTAAGCAGTTTAATTATTTCAGGAATCCTATTGTTAGTCGCCATTGAAAAAGTTGTACCCTGTTTTAATATTCATAAATAAATGCTTTTTTAGTGTCTTAATAATTAGGGTTTAACAAAATGTTTATGTATAAATAATTTATTTTCTCTCAACAGAGTAAAAAGTGAATTTTATTATTGACACATTTTGATATTTTTTAAGAGAGATAAATTTGGTATAACTTCCATGATCAAGAGTTATGCAAATAAATATCTTAATATTTTAGTAACAACATTATTAACAAATAATAACAAAAAACAATAACAAAAAAAATTAACAAAAATAATGAAATTTCAAAAATTATAGAAGCAAAATGCATACCAAGCAAGATCTGTAAGAGAAGCATAATGCATGTTAGCACAAAAACCAATAGGATATTGATGCTGAGTGTCATAGAATGTAACAGAATCTAAACTTGCAACTGCAAAAACCATGCGATAAGGTAGACTAAAAAAAATTAAAAATTTTTATTACCTTGTTTGTTTTTTTGTTATTATTGAGATAACCCATTGGTAGCGGGGTACTTCTTTAACAAGATATTGAATTCAACAAGGACTTTCTTTAAGAAAAAAATTAGCCAAAAAAAAGCCAGGGAAATTTTAGCCAATCTAAGAGCATCACACATTTGGAAATTTTATTACACATTACACATTTGGAAATTTATTATCTTTGACCTCTTCACATGCATTGAGTTATTAGAACTAAAAAAAAAATTTAACAAAAATAAATTCTTCCAAAAATATACAAAAGAGGCAACTCAAATGCTTTACAAAGGATTCAACTCATTTGGGGCACTGGAAATAATATTTTGTTAAATTTTAACAACTTTAACATTTAAATAAGAAACTGGTTTATGCAATCTACCACAATAAAACAGACTGAACAAATAGGACTATAACATTTACATTCCTTTATAATAAAAATAGTATACATCAACTGAGGGTCTGGGTCTTAGGGCCTGAGCTAATACATTCTAAATATGAAAAATATTTAGAAAGGCACAAAACAACTTTATTTTTTTAATATTTTGTTTTTTTTATTCAGAACATAATTATGATTTAAAAGCTGTTCAAAATCTCAAAAAATAGTTCAAATATCTCATTCAAATTTCCAAATGGGCAATAGTTTTAAGTAAATTAAAATGTAAAATACTCTAAGTTGCAATTAAAAAACCTCTGAATTGGGATTTAAGAATAAAAAGCACACCAGATACAGAAATAAAGAACCAATCTATACATTACATCTTTTTATATTTACGCCTGTCAGCTACTGTCTATCTTAGAGCTATGAAAAATGTTGAAAAAAAAATCAGCCGGGTTCAAAACTATTAACTAATTTTTTCAACTTGGTTATCAGTAAATAACAGGTAAAATGGCTGAAAAAAGAAGACAATAGAAACAACTTTTAAGTCTATGAGAACCAACTGTCAATTATCTATGAGAAATAGTTAGGTACTATAATCTATGAGAAATAGTTAGGTGCTAAAATCTTTTAACTTATTTAAGTATCTAGAAGTAAAGTATTTCATGCTAATATATTATTAACCATGTAACTTAGTTAAATAAGTATCTAGTAAGAAAAACATTTCATGCTAATATATTGTTAACCTTATAAAAATAAAATTTATGACAGAAAATTTATCTTAAATTGTAAATCTAAAATTTGAGAATAGTATTTTTTAAACCTTGCTTTTAAACATAAAACCTAAACAAAACTTATACTGATTGTATATTTTATATAAATATATTCTGACCCTGAAAACTCATCATTTTCATTTAAAGGATTAACATTTTCTTTGTCCACTATCAGTTCATAAACAACAGGTGAACATTTTACAGCCAATGTAGCTTTCTTTGGACCAGGAAGGTGTCGTAAAGGTCTAAAACATTCAGTATTTAAAAACTTTATTATTTAATAAATATAAAGATTTTTGTACTATTAAATTCATTTATACATAAATAATTTGATAAATAGCTTAACATAAAAAGAATTAAATTTTAAAAGATAAATGTTATATACTTGCTGTAAGATTCACGGGAAAAAATATAAGTAGTCATCCTTGGCTTATCATTTCCATCACATAAACCAGCTGAAAAATAATTAAAATTAAAGATATGTTAATGTTTTTATTTTCTACGAATAAATTTACATTAGAACAAAATCTACAAAATTTTAATATTCTACAATAGTGATAAACAAATCAAAAAGTCTATATAAATTAGCATAAATTAGCAGGAAAAATTACTCTAATAGTAACAACATGTTTCAAGCATTCTTGTATTTAAAGACTTAGTAAATAAGATTTATAACAGAATAACAAGTATTAGCTGTTTTTGTGGTCATAAATTTCAGTGAAAGCATTAAAATATTAAAAAAGGTTAATATTGTTATTATTATTATTTAAACAAATTCACTCCCAACAAAGATTGCTAAGCAACAACTAATTTCTTAACAGAAAACAAAGAAAGGAGTTAAAGAACAAGAAAGCAGTTGACAGAAGACTTGAAAAAACTGTAAACTGCATGAGTCATGAAGAAAGGAGAGAATTCCAAAGCACCAATGTTAGAGGAAATAACTAGATAAATAAATATTTTTTGAGCATGAAGAAACAGTTATGTAAAAGGATGCGACTTGCTGAACCACTCAATCAAACAAGAGTTTGATTGATAGATCAAGTGATGATAGTTTGCTTGAGTTTTATTTGGGTTGAAACTCACCATCCACTGCAAGACCCAAGATGTTACAGATAATTTCACCACCTAAAGGAGAACAAGGAGAAACTCAGCACAAGCTCAGTTCTCTTTCATAAGCAATAAAAATGTAGTTGCTCCTTCATAAGCAAACAAATATAATTTTTTGCAAAGTTAAAGTTTGTTAAAGTTAAAGTCAAAAATTGCATAATTTTTGCTTACAACTTTAAGTCATAATAAAGGACTCCAAAACATACCCCAAAGGGATGTATTAAGTTAGAGATAACTTATCCTAATGTTTGTCTAATCAAACAAAAAAATTCTACAAGACAGCAAGGCAAAAGGTAGGTTGTACTGTAACTAGTAGCAGGGTGTAATGATATTCCTAACCATGATATAACCTGAATTTACTGCAAGTTATTACTGTATCTAAAGAAATTACTGCAACATATAATTTAGGATTTTATATTCCTTATAGTTTTTATAATTTATTTTATATAGTTTTCAAAAAACTTTTTAATACCCCTTACTAAACCTAAAGAACACAATTTTTAAGTTTTTACACCAATATTGCTCATCAGTATTAACTTTATTTTAGTTAATATCCTTTAGAAAAATACATTAACCCTCTATAAATCCTAGTTCTATTCTGTTCTGATACGTATTAATTAAATAAAATTGTCAAAATAAAACATCAATTATCACAAAAAGGTTAATAATTTCAACCGAGAAAGAGCTTGTAATGAAAGAAACTTCCAATAAACAATCATAACAAATCATATTATTAAACTTTGTTTATTTTACCTAAAAAACATTTAAAATCTTATTCAATTTTGGACAAACAATCATGATTTTTAGGAGACCCGATTATGTTGTGGTCAGCAAAATATCATACAGACACTATAATATTTAAAGTTGCCTTAACTACACCGGGCACAAGTCTATTTCAGTAATATTTCTTTATTCATTTCTTGATATTTCAAAAATTTAAGTAATCACAAACCAATCATAAAGAAATAAAAATAATGAAATAATAAATAATTTAGTTAAAACTATTGATTATTTGTTGAATAAGACAAAAAATGAAAAAAACATTTTTATTTTATCTAGATTAAACATAGATGAAAATGTGATGTCACTTATAGTAAATAGATATTCAAGTTTACTGCAATCTCTATGAAATCAAGTATTTCTTGACTCAGTATAAAAAACAGATTTATCTATTATCAGCTTTGGACTGATATGCTTAATAAAAAAAAATTTTATTAAGCATATCAGCCCAGAACATACATGCTGTCACAATTATACATTTTTAAAAATTAACCTCTCTCCTTCTTTTCTCAGGCAAAACTTTTTGTTTGTAGAAAATGATTGATACCATGTTAATGTTGCAAACAAATTCATATACAGACTATCTATAGTATGAGGAAAAGTTCTGCAAACATTCTAGAATTAAGAGCGTGTTACTATGGTACTGACAAATACAGACATTCTTTAGCCTATGTCAAAATTTGGACAAGTTTATTTTTTCTAATAACCAATTTTACTAATGGCCATTTTAAGAACTCATTTCTACTATTTCCTCTTCCATTCTTGTCTCTGATTGGAATGATTGGATTACCTAGCTTGATCAATTACTTTATTTATTACTCATGTTCTAAATATTTGAGTATTCAGTTGTTACCAAATCCATTTCCTCTGTGCACTTTTTGTTAAATTTTCAAAATTCTAAACAGCTCTCCCATAATCATTTTTTGCAAACATTAGTGGTATTTAATACTATTTCTTAGTCTAAATTCCTGTTGATTTATTCGCGTTCTGAAATTTAGGATTGCACAACTTGAAAGAAACCATAATAACTTAAAGGTACATTAAATGGAAACAGTAAAGTATAAATCTGATTAGATGGAAACAGTAAAGGTAATGTAAAAAAAAAAAAGAAATGCAAAAAGAAAATTGTGATTTCCCACTTGCAACAGCTTGCTAGTGGCTAGTGAGTTTCAAATCTAACGAAGTCTTGATTGTTAATATTATTACATAAGATTATCACAATTTTGTTGATATCTTAAAACTTGAGATAAATCTCACATAACTTACTGAGTAAATTTATACTTTTTTGGATAACTTCATAATAACCATATATCTAATCTATTGCAGAAACTGTTAAAAATAATTAATGATATTATTAACTGTCATACTAGAAATGGTTCTTCTAACTCTTTAGACAAGACCCCAAAACAAATTGTTAATGTTGTTGGACCGTCTCAAGGTGCCAAGCTGAAGTATCTGTTCATTGTCAAAGATTGCATCTCTTTCTATTCGCTACAAATACTACAATGATTACTGTTGAAGCAAGCTATCAACTCTTGTTCATTTGTTACAAATGCTATCATGATCAATGCTGAAGCAAGTTATCATTTCTTGGGAAAAAAAAATACTTAAATGCCCTTGATAGCTATGTCTTGAATAAAACAAACAACTATAAACTTAAATTTTTATTTATAAAACATTTTAATAAAGAAATATTAAAAAAATGTTAAAGGCTCAGAATAACCCAAATTTATGACATGTTAAGTTAAAGCAAAAGCTGTGTTTCTGATTTTTCAAAATAAATGTTTATTTAAAAAAATAACAATCAGTTTAAAATGGCTAACAATTTTTCTGTAAACTTTAAAATTAAAAAAAGTAAACAAAAAATAAAAGTAAAAAACTATAAAGAACAAAATCTGAATTCCAAAAAGTATAAAGTTTAGGATTAAAATTGTAACACTCTGGACTGCAGACCTTTTTAAGTTGGATCAATAAATTTAGAAATTTCTAAACATTTTTTCAAACCGTTTTATAATTTCTATTAAAAATATTTCTGCTAATAATATTAACATTGTGCTTTTGTAACATGTTTAACATTCACATATTTTTCTTGCGATTACATCAATATCAATATTACCGCATGATTCAAATGATTATTTTTTTTAATTTTAAACAAAAAATTACCTGGAAGAAATAAAAACGATCCATCTGTAGAGTATGAGCACCTTCTAAAAAATGATTGCATTGTTTCATCCATAAACATGCGTGTATATTTGCATTTAACCAGCTAAAAAAAGAAATATATTACATAAAACAAAATACAAAACAACAACAGAATATAATCATATATGAAAAAACAGATCTGGAAAAAAATAATTTTCGGTCAGTAGAGTGTCAATGTAAAATGGCTCAACCATTGTCTTTAAACTCAGCTTGAACTCTGTCTTAATAAAACTTTTGACATAAATAATATATAAAATAAAATATATTTTAATCTAAAATTATATAAAAATAAAAATTCTATATTGTGCATACAACTCATAGATTTATATATAAAAAAAGTTATTTTGTATAATTAAATAATGAATATAATTTTATCAACTAATTGTTAGAATAAGATTCTAACAATTAGTTGATTAGATGCCTAGCCTGAGTTAGTCATCAAACAGGTTGATTCATTGCTTGACATTCGTATAACTCCAGCTTCTGTATCTAAAGTGATTTCCTACTTAGACTCTTCTACAGCTTTTGGCCCGGACAACATACATATAGTCTTGCAGAAGTGTTCTTCGGAGCTGTCGTCTATACTTTCAAAACTATTCAACAAGTGCTTATCAGAGTCTTGTTTTCCAGCCTGCTGGAAAGCAGAATCTGTTATCCCTTTTTTTCAAAATTTCTGCAAAACGATCTGATTCGTCTAACTACTGTCCCATTTTTCTTCTTCCTATCATAAGCAAACTTACTTTCTGATCATCAATATGGATTTCAATCTTCTCATTCTACAGCTGATTTGCTAAGAGTAATAACCGATAGGTTTTATTGTGCATTAGATATAGGAGGAGAGGTTAAGACTATCGTTCATGAGATTTCTAAAGCTTTTGACAATGTTTGGCATGCTGGTTTTCTCCATAAGCTTCTTACGGTGTATCTGGTAACATCTTGAATCCTTCCTTTAAACCTAACATTATTGAATCCTTCCTTTTTAATCGCAGTATAAAAGTTGTCCTTGATGGACAGCACTCCTCTTCATACTCTGTAACTTCAATCCTTGGCCCTATACTCTTGTTAATTTACATTAACAATCTTCCAGATATTCTCACATCTAAAGTGACATTGTTCACTGATGATACTACCATTTATTCTTGTCCTGATAAGAAACCAACACTCTCTGATTGCTTGGAGGGGGAATTTGAGCTTGAAAAAGATTTCACTTCTACTAAAGCATGGTGCTCACAGTGGCTGGTGAACTTTAACTCAGATAAAACTTAATTTTTTCAGCCAATCGTTATCACAATAATTTAGATCTTTCTATATTTACAAACGGTAATGTACTCAATGAGTCATCTACCCTTCATCTTCTAAGATTAACTCTTACTTCTGATCATTCTTGGAAAGAACGGTATATCAAATCCGTTGTAAAATTAGTTTTTCACTTTCTCAGTCCAGATTCTATTCTCTATCTCTATAAATCTCAAATCCGGCCTTGTGTGGAACACTGTTGCCATATTTAGGGTGGATCTTCTAATGATGCCTTTTCTTTTCTAGACAAGGTGCAAAAACACATTGTAAACATAGTTGGACCTGTTCTTGCAGCCAACCTCCAACCATTATCGCATCGTTGTAATGTTGCTTCGCTTTCTGTTTTCTACAAATACTATAATGGACACTGCTCTAAAGAGCTAGCATCTCTTGTGTCATCTACTAAAATTCATTATCATGTTACTTGTCATTCAATTAAATATCATCTTTTTATTGTGACTGTTCCTAAGTGCTCTGAAAACTCTTAAATCTAGTTCAGTAGAAAAATCTTTTTTCCTCGAACATCAGTTCTTTGGAATTTCCATTCTTCGTCTTGTTTACCTTATAATTTGCATTCTTTTAAGTCGTCTTTCTATCATTATCTTGCTCTACAATTTTCACCTTTTCTCTTACAGTAACTTCTAACTCTAATAGTGGTTGCTTGCAGCCTTGTTGGAAGTGAAGATGTTAAAAAAATTCATTAATTTTTTTTTAATGATATTTTAAAGATCTTTATTCAAAAGAACCCATTTAGACACTAAAAGAAGGTAGCAGGAAACAATTATATTAGGGTAGATCATTTGAAAAAGTTTGAATTATGATAAATTGTTACTCCATGATAATACAAAAAAGATAGGAAAAATTAATTTGGATATTTATAGTGTCTTCTTTTGCCACCAGGGGGCCTTAAATCACCATACTTGTGCATTTTTATGGTTTTTATAATTATTTAATTAATAATTTGGTAACAAAATTTAACTTTGAAAAGTGCAAATTGTTTCTTGCGGACGATATAATTAAATAGGAAAAAAAAATCTAACCATTTTTGGTCTTCATTTGTTGCTAAAGACCTTTAAAAAAAGGCCTTAAAGACCTTATTGCACCATATTGGTGCATTTTCAGGGGTTTTTTTATCATTATCAAATTACTTAGTAGTTATTGTTCTAAAATTATTAAATTTTATTTTGAATTTTGATAAAATTGTTGATATTGGATGATATAAATGAAAATAAAATAGTAAACAAGTTTTTTTTTTACTTTTTCTTCTGGGGGACTTTGTACATTTTTAGACTTTATTGGTATTTAATTATTAATTTGACTATAAGTTTTTAAATGTTTTCCAAAAAATAACAATTACTGGATTTATCAACGATTTTTTAATTATCTATTTAGTGAACAAGTAATTAAATACGGTTTCTAATTATTTTCTAATTATGTTGCATTTTTTTTGCAGTGATTCTAGCTAGTACTTTACAAATCATCATTTTTTATGCATTTTTAGGTTTTTTTTATTGTTATTAAATTACTTAGTAATTTACTATTTATTATATAAATTTAAGTGATTCTAACTATCACTTTTTAAAATTATTATTTATTTATTTTAAAATAAATTGTAGACAAATTCACTATTTATTAGCATATAAAGATTATTATATTATAAATATTACCAATACCCATATATAGACTAAATAATCCATCTGTAAATGGTTCGTTGAATTTAAATCTATTACAAAAATTCTGCTTTGCAAATTGAATAAAACTAAGTATACTATATTTAAAAACTAAGTATACTATATTTATATACTATATTTAGAAAATTAAAAATCACACCTTTAATCTTTCTATTAAACCAGGTACTGTTCCAGAAAAACTAAAAATTGCACAAGTCTCACCTATTTTTAAATCGGGTGATGATACAAACACTTCAAATTACAGACCAATATCGGTTCTTCCATGCTTTTCTAAGTTACTTGAATGTATAATGTATAATAGACTTAACAGCTACCTAACAGTAAACATGTTGTTCATTTGGTTTAAAAAAAAATCACTTAACCAATCATGCTTTGACCAAACTAGTAACACATGTCACAAATGCCTTTAATGATGATTGTTTGACATTTGGAGTTTTTTAATGATCTGTCTAAAGCTTTTGACACTGTCAACCATGTCTTTTTTCTTAAAAAACTTGAACATTATGGAATGAAAAAAAATAACTTTGGTTTAAAGAATTTTTATCAAGCAGAAAACAGTTTATACAATATGAAACAGGTAAAACTTTCAAAAATATATTAACATGCATTTTAGGAACACTATTATTTTCACTTAATATAATCGATTTATCTTTTACACCAAACTTATTAAATTTTATTTTATTTGCGGATGACTCTAATCTATTTTATTCACATAGGGAAATTAAAACTCTTTTTAAAATAGTTAATGAAGAAATAAACAAAATAAAGGAATGGTTTATATGTAATAAATCACTTAACGTTTTAAAAACTAAGTATATATTATTTCAAAAACAATATAAAACAGATAATCGTGCTCTAAAATTACCTGATCTGAAAATAAATAAAAATAATATTACAAGACAAACATCTGTAAACTTCTCAGGTGTTATTTTAGATGAAAATTTATCTTGGAAGACTCATATAAGCTCTCTGGAAAGAAAACTTTCAAAAAATATTGCAATAATGTATAAAGCAAAACCATTCTTAAAGATTAAGTCTTTAAAAAATTTATATTTTTCTTTTATACATAGTTATTTAACTTATGAAAATATTGTATGGGCAAGCACCAATTACACAAAATTGAAAAATATTTATTCAAAACAAGACATGCTTGCAGAATTGTATTTGGAGCAACAAAAAATGTGTCTTGCGAGCCACTTCTAAATAAGCTTGGATCATTAAATGTGTTCAAAACTAATATATATTTAGTCTACAATTCATGTATAAATAAAGCACAAAATGTCTCCAACTATATTTAATCAATATTTTAGTGAAATAAGCCACATATACCCCAACAGATTCTCCAAATTCAAATTTGTAACTCTAAAATATAATCTAAAGTTATGTTCTTATTCTATTCAGTATTGGGGCCCTTTTTTATGGAAAAATTTTAAACAGATTATTTATAATACAGAACAAACATTTCTGCAATTCAAAGCTAATTTAAAATATAATTTAATAAACTTTATTATTCTAAATATTGCCAGTCCTTTTTAGAAGTTATTAAACTAAATTTATAACGATACATAACTTTAACATGTTAACTACTAAAAAACTAAAAATAAGAAGAAAATCAACTATTGTATTATTAAGAATAAAGTCTTTATCACACTTTTTTGAAAAATATTTATTTTAAATAATATATTTATTGAAAATTTATATTTTTTTATTTACTTTAAATATGCAGTATCTATTAGTAAATTATTATACATTTATTTTGTTTTTGAAACTTTTGTATATTTTATGTTGTTGTGAATTGAATTTTATACATTTTATAATAAAAATGACAATACAATATGTATATATGTATATGTATGTGTGTATATGTTAGTATTTATGTTTGTGTATGTATATACGTGTATGTGTATATATATACTCGTATATATTTATACATTTTATTTTTTTCTTAACTAACTTTACTTTTAATTTTTTTGTACCTTTTTGTTTTATAACTTTTTATAATATATATATTTTATTATTTTACAGATTTGTTAAATCCGTTTGTAATGGGGCTTGGTGATGAGGCTTATTATGCCTTCTTCTTGCTCCAGCCATTTCCTTTTGTTACATTTGTACATTGTATATATTCTTAACAACGAAATAAATGAAACTTCTACTACAACTAAAAATCTTTCATAAAAAACTTAACTCGTTTCTCCGCCCAGTGGCCTTGTTTGTCAAGGATTGTGTTTCGGAGTTATAGAGGAGAGAGATGGTTGTAACCACAAATAAGTAGCATCCTCGTCTGTAGTGGCCTTGTCAGCCTTGAGGAGGTGAAATAACAAAACAAACAAAAAAAAACTATGGCTGTTACAAAAGCAGAACTGAATTGACCTGTTTATGACATTGAATGTTAACTTCTTCTCGTGAACTTCCAACTGTTAAGGAAGTCATGCAATTCTTTTGTTCTATTTCAACTTCCCAGTTGTGCTTGACTTGGTAGTTGCCACTAACAACACAAGCACAATAGTTTCTAATTTTTTTTAATTGTTACTAACATTCAGTTGAAATCTGGCATTTCAGCTGTCACAATAAAAAGAGTGCAGCAGAAAGTAGAATCTTTACACAATAATTTAAGATTAATTCGATGTCTATGATGATCAGTTGTGAGATTTCTATGAATAAGATAGTGAATATGGCAGAACTATGATAAAGTTTCCAACGTTTGCTAAAGAATGTGATATGATGTATCTGATGCTGCTAGATCTGCAGTTGTCACTGCAACATTTTCAGATTGCAGAATTATAAAAAAACATGACAGAAAAGCATAAATTTTAACTGAGTTAAGACACCAAAGACAATTGCTTAGAACTACATTGTCACATAAAGCACACATTATCAAAAGCAAATATAGCTATGTGTTCAGTAGCCCAAAATTTATTTTCTTTGATAAGCCAAAAGATAAAACTCTTTGTGCATTAGGAACTAGCAGTAAAGACATAATCAATGAAGAACATATCACATTAATAGAACATCATTCCATTTTTATTGTTCATGTTTATGTTTTGTTCATATTAATCGTCAAAAAAGTGACAAAAGATATGTTAAATTAGTTACAGAAGCAGCAGCCATATTATATATATATAATAATAAATTAGCAACATGATTCTTAAACTTGCATAAAATATCAAAAATGTATAATTAATATTTAATGTCAAAAATGTATATAAAGAATATAATACAAACTTAAAATTTAATAGTTTCTATTAATCCTTAAGAGTTATGAAGAAGTATTCAACATTTGTAAAGTATCTGTTCTACCAGTGTCATTTTTGCAACTAAGAGACACAAAGTATATGTGAAATTGAAATTTATTTTTAACTATCACATGGTTGTTGTTTGTAGAAGTTTTGAAGTAGATAAAAGTGGAAATTTTTACACGCACTAATAATTTTATCACCAATTGTTTGTTTGTTTTTTCCTTTTAACTCAATATTCATTTTATAAAATTAACTGATAGAGTTAATATATTTATGAGCCAATTATAATCCAATTTAGAGACTTATTTTGTTTATTAATTTTATACAATATTTTTAAATATTATCTTGATTTTAAAGTTGATGTGCTAGCCAATTTGACAAGCATTTTTATTTTTAGGAGTTTAAAATAGAAATTTCCGAAAACTCACACAATAAGAATAACTTATAATATAATACAATAAAAAATTTATGATAATGCACATCTAATATATTTACTTCATTTTTGAATAAAGAATAACCAAAAATTAACAATACAAAAAAAGAAGGTAAATATTACACATCGAGGATTAGTGGCTGTATATATGCGACATGTTCTAAAAATAAAACATTTTATCTTTTATTGCGCAGTAATCAAATTTATATATATATATATATATATATATATATATATATATATATATATATATATATATATATATATATATATATTATATATATATATATATATTTATATATATATATATATAAATATATATAAATAGATAGATATATGAATATATGAACCTGTCATTTCGAAAAGGACACAAGTCCATTAATTAAAACTTTTGAAAATCAACAAAAAAATGATTTTTATTAAAATGTCTACGCAGCTAATGAAACAAAATATAGGAGTAGATAAATAAAGAACGTATATAAACTATCTAAGTTTTATTTTTTATAAAAAAAAACTTAAATCATACAGAAATTTTTAATTTAAATTAAAAATTTCTGTATGATTAAACTAACTGTTAAAGGTTTTGGACTGGTATCTTTTTCAGAATGATAGGTTCATATATATATATATATATATATATATATATATATATATATATATATATATATATATATATATATATATATATATATATATATATATATATATATATATATATATACTAGACATTTTTAAGTAAAAATGTCTGGTATGAAGCGCCAATTTAAAATATTATCATTACGTCACTCGCTTTAATGTAGAACGCATGTTTGAATTTTGCACTAACGTAAATATGAAAAGTTTCGGTAATGTAGAAAGTGGGGCGTTTAAGTAACTGTGATCAACAGTTGTGCATTAGGCATGGGATTCAACTAGGTATTCAAAATATTTTGTACAAAAAAATCGTCAATTTCTGCAAAAAAAACTTGAAAGTAATATGCAATAACAGAGAAAGTGACGAGGAAATACTGATGACACAAACATAACCAATAATGATGAAGACTTTTCCGGCGGGTTTCAAGTTGTAATGAGTGAAGATAATGACTCTATTGAACTGACTGATGATTTGCAGCCGTTAATCAAAAAGGTGCGCACCGTTGTGAAATTTTTATTTCGCCGTTCTCCGACAAAAAATGATCAAAATTCAAAAACGCACGTTAGAAAAAATTTGATAAAGATATTCCACTAATACTTGGATCCAAAACTAGCTGGGTTAGCTTGCACACAGTACTCGAACGTTATGTACAATTGAAAAAAAGCATTCACGAGTCACTTTTTGCCCTTGAGTCCAAAGTTGAGGTAACTAATAATGAGTCCGATGCAATATTAGCTGTTAACTTATGTCTTGCGCCAGTAAAACTGGCTGTGGAAACATTGTGCCAAAATCATGCAACATTTTCATGATAGATAACCTTTGAGAAATCGATTTAGCTGTAAAGTTATGTTAGTGCAACAATTCAATGAGCAACGTACTCTTTTTCCAGCATACAACATTTTTTGCACAAGGGACATCAACGTTACAAGAATTTGGATCTAGCTCTATCTTTTGAGCACCATAGCAAATTAGCCATTGTAAATACCATTACTCGACTGAAAGATCGGCTCAATCAGAAAGGGTATAGTCCTCTCCCTTTCACCAGCGTTTTTTCCGATAGTGATTCTGTGGACAACGCTGTAAACTTGTCATTGAAAAAAAAGCTTGACTTTGCAATTTTGAAAAATAAGAAATGTAACAACAAGGGAAAATTGAATGTTTCGAATAATTCATCAAAAATTATATGTATTGAAATAGGATTTTTTGAAGAAGGAGGAAATCGTTGTATATATTTGCAAAATTCCTACCATTACTTGAAAACTGTGAAGCCAACAAAATTAGATGATCTTTTGAAGATGATGTTCTGAACGCCCTATGTTTTTTACAGGCTCATTTTACAAAGCAGAAAAAAGCGAAAAATGAAAAAGTCAGTAGTTTTGATATAAAATAAATAAGCTGATTGAATCAATAAAATTTTTACTATTAACTTGAGATTTTATTTAGATTATGATAAATTTAAAAATAAAGTTTAATACCGGTATTACCGGTATTGTAATTATTTAGTACCGATATACCGGTATTGAAAAATGGTATCGGTATTGGAAGCACTATATATATATATATACATATAAAATATTTTCAGCATTTTGAAATGATAGGTTCATATATATATGTGTGTGAATATATATACATATATATATATATATACATATATATATATATATATACATATATATATATATATATATATATATATATATATATATATATATATATATATATATATATATATATATATATATATGCATATAAAATATTTTCAGCATTTTGAAATGATAGGTTCATATATATATGTGTGTGAATATATATACATATATATATATATATATATATACATATATATATATATATATATACATATATATATATATATATATATATATATATATATATATATATATATATATATATATATATATATATATATATATATATATATATATATATATATGTATATATATAATATTCTCAGCATTTGAACTTTTTGAAGAAAATAGAAATACATTCTGTAATACAACTTACCTGTCACTAGAATGAGTAACTAAATATGATCCCCGAGGATCCCAGCAAACACCTTGAATATAGTGTTTGTGGTCAGTAAGAACTTTTAAACTTTGACCTGTAAAATAGAAATTTTTATACAAAACCTTTATAACATGGACATTAGGGTGGTTCTAAAAACAACATTTTTTGAAAATGTCTGATCGGACACCCTAAATGTGTTCTATGTAGTAAATCAATACTACATTTAAAAAATTTTCGTATAAAAAAATTTTTTAGGGGTTGCACAAGACCCTTAAACATTAGACAGGTCCCTAATATTTTGAAAAAAAAAGTTCTTCAAAAGTGTATTATTTTGAGTCTCAAAAGAAGTGAAACTTTATGAAAATTTTAAAAATAATAAAAGAAATTTATAAAAACACAAATCAAAAAAGTTTATTTAAAAAAACTATTATTTTTTAACAAAAAGTAAAAGTACATATTTTCATAGTTTTTTATAATAAACTTTTTTAATTTGTGTTTTCGTAAATTTCTTTAATTATTTTTAAAATTTTCATAAAAATTTCACTTCTTTTGAGACCCAACATGATACACTTTTGAAGAACTTTTTTTTTCAAAATATTAGGGACCTGTTTGATGTTTAAGAGTCTTGTGCAATCCCTAAAAAAATTTTTTATACGAAAATTTTTTAAATATAGTATTGATTTACTACATAGAACACATTTAGGGTGTCCCATCAGACATTTTCAAAAAATGTTGTTTTTAGAACTAATAATAACCCTAATTTTAGAACTAATAATAACCCTAATGGACATAATAACAAACCTTTATTCATTTATCTCGTTATTATTTATTTCATAACTTTATTCACTTATCTAATTGTGACACATATCTTGTGTTATTCTCTTACCTTTGTTGGCATCCCAAATGATTGCACTATTATCAACAGACCCAGTAATTAGCTGAGAGCTGTCTGGAGACCATGCTAAATCATAAATATCCTCAACATGACCTCTGAACAAAAAATATTTCACAAAGCTACAAAATTTGACAATCAAAATCAATTAAAACTAAAGTAAAAGCAAAGCAAGTATTGCTGACCTCAGCATTTTATAAACATTCCATGATTCTTTATCTTCATCTTCTTCTTTGCCAAATGATGAAGATGGTTTTTCGTTGACATTTAGCTTCCAAAGTATAATTGCACCATCTTAAAAAGGCAGGAAAAAAATATAAGTAATACAATACTACTTAAGACATTTTTTAAAATAACATTAACTTCTGTTCATTACTATTTAAATTTTCTGTTTACTTAAAAATATACCTTGTAATAAATATATTTTTAATTTTTAGTATTTTTAAATATATTTTATATCACATATAGAAATAATTTTGTAAACTGTTTTCTTTTAAAACTAAATTGGACAAAACTTGTTGAAACTCTTAATTCCTTTTGTAATTACATTTTATAAAAGTTAATCTCTTTCTATCTTAAAATACTCATTTTAAATAAAATATACATAATAGTAAGTGACCAGGGCCCCGACCCCGGTTAAAAGTGAGACTTTATGCAAATCCGGCCCTGGCAAAATTATAAGATTTAGCACAGGTTGATAGCCAGGGCTAGAAATAAATTTATAATTCTTTATATATTACAATTTTATACTTACATTTACTATTTATTAAATTCTGGCATATATTTATGCTAGTATTTAATAAATAGGGACAGATACAGTAAAAGGATGCAGCTTATTGAATAAGAAGCCAAGCAATAATGAGTTTTGTTTTCTTGTAATAGAGCATTAATCATGATTAGAGAAATAGCATAAAAGAGCTCTAAACCCTGACGATGTCATCAGCAGCAGCAGATGATGATAATGATGATAATGATGATGAAAATAATGATGATAATGATGATGAAAATAATGATGATAATTATAATGATGATAATGATGATGGTGATGATGATGATGATGATGATGATGATGATGATAATAATAATGATGATGACAATTATGATGACAATGATCATGATGATGATGATGGTGTCATGATGATGATGATCATGATGATGATGGTCATGACAATCATGTTGGTCAAAATATTGTTTATAAATACATATATACAAAATCAAACATAAATTTTGAAGAAAAAAAATGTACTTTTGGATGTATAAATGTTTATGCAGCCCCGATCACAAACCCGGCTCCTGCCCCAGCTGTATTATATCAAACTGGTCAAATATCAACCCCAGTCATTCACTAATACCAAACAAACACTGTTCATTTAACTTAAACTCGTGACATTTGAAAAAACTTAATATT